GTATCTTGCCGCTGTAGTGGTGGCAATAAAAGGTTTGAGAGATCCCTTGACTTTTACCCTACAATAATGAAGGCTAGGGCCCTGAGCCAGACACACAGCAGAACAATCTACAAGTATCCTCACACATGGATGTTTTGTACCAACACAGAAAAGGTATGCTTTCACTCCCCTCCCTGAAAAACAGTATCAGCACACTTGCTATGTAGATTTTTCTCAGACTTCCAAGGATGTAAAATTTAATTAGTATTTCCAACAATAAACACTTTAATCACTGCTAGTGTATTCCAGTAGAAACTAGGTACCCTACAAGTAACTGGGGGCTTCTCCAAATATATAGGCTCATTTTTGAAGTCAAATGCTATACACATGCACCTTCGAGTCATTATTAACCTTGAGTCAGACCATATGATTCATCACCTATGCATTACAGAGACTGCATCTACAAAAACAGGTACCAGGGTCCAACCCCCTTAGTTGCTGCCCCTGTGTACAATCAGCGATGGAGACAGAAATTAGGAGACAGCAATACTGTAAAAGATGAGTAGCTACTGCTGAGTAATCTCTAGCTTTATCTTCATATGTGCAGCTCCCTCAACTGTACAGAGGAGATTTAAAATGACAAAGTGATGCTGTATATTAAGTCCCCTATACTATTTGATCACTCCCTCTTATTTCCTGCTATTAAGTGTCAGTCATTAAAGGTATTAGTAATGATTTAACTTAATTTGTATGGCCACAATTGGAAAACAGACTGGTCTTCCACAAAGGTTTTCAGACCTACAAAAAAAAGTAGAAGTGAAGGGAAAATAACGATAGTTTTAAGCACGATTCTACTCGGAAAAGTGAGTATATAACAGCAGCATATTCTTACTCAACAGAATTGCTCCTTGTGTCTATATCAGCTCATTTTAGAGACAAAAAGGTTTTTACTATTTCATAAACTTGTTAGCTCCACAGTGCAAACCAGATAAGAGGTAGTGAGCTGGGCTCTGCTCTTTCTTGTGTCACCAATAGAAGTGTTTACTAATTTCCAATTACACGTCTAATCAGTGACACCTGGTCAACTGCAGTGAAGACTATGTAGCTGGAATGGGCAAGTGAACAAACAACAAAAAACAGCTGAAGTAGACTATTGTTGATGCCTGGAAGATGTCTCCCTTGTGCAACTGAGATGCAGTTTTCTACATATAGCCTATCTTGCAGAGATACTTCTGTGTGTGCAATAAAAGCTAATGGTGGGTACACAACATACTTTAATAGAATGAAAGCACAGAAATCCAAACTATTATTACTGATTTTCACATTTTAGTAAGTGTCTGCAACTTTCTGTGGATGACTAATGTCAGTGTCCGAGTTTCTTTGGTATTTCAATTAACTAGTACCTGGCTTTTGCTGTAAGTAAACTGCACAAAGAGAACGCTGGTAGATAACAAGGATATGATACAGCATCATTTAAAAGCATATACTAGTAAACTTTTGAAAGCATCAGAACATTTGCATCTAAGATCTCCAGCCTCGATAACTAGCGAGGTGTAAACTCTCAAAGGGGGGGCAGAGGAATAAACTTAATCATATTCCACAAGCATTTGACCTAGCCTCAGCAGCTAAATAGCAATGATGTGGAGAACTGCACAAAACTCCCAGTAGCTGTGCTATCGTAACATTGGCAAAATGAGTCTTGAGAGCTTTTGTTGCTGTAACATGAGTCTCTTCACAGAAGGTGTCAGTTTACACAGCCTTAGTACAGAAACAAATTTCACTTTGGACTATACTCCATATGCAAGCGAGAGAGTGTGATTTACCAAAATCTGATTTTCTTGGGACATAAAAACTAAGTACCCACTTCAACTCCAACTTGTGTAAAAGGCTGCCCTGGGAGGGTCGTGATTTAATAAATGGTAAGATTCCTCTTCTATCAATGTGATGGACCTGAGGGTCTGTCCTTCTAGACTAATGGAGCATATCATATTCCAGATGGCTTTGAAGAATACTATTTTGCCGACAGATCACACTAACCACTACTAGAATTTTATAATAACCATATGTCCTTGACTTTTGATATTGTGGCTTCTAAATGACCATTTGCTGGATCCGTAGCCATAGGCCGCTACGCTTTTTTAATGATCTGCAACAAATGAAATGAGTTAGAAGATGCTAGAATACCAATGGTAGAAATCCCATGACGAGTCAGACTGATAGTGACAAAGCATTTTTGAAGTCTTTGTCACTGCTGTACAGGAGGCAAAGAAGATTGTCTTTGTCTCTACCCCCATAGTGTCTGCAAACTCTCAGATAACAGATCTTTTTGAATGGTGATTAGCCTAGTTAAACTGCACAGTATTCACTATCAGAGCTGAATATTTTTCACTGAAGAATTTTCATTATACTTTGTAAATAAAATTAGTCAGATCACAACTGAGCTGTCTGCCTCTACGGAGATGAGGCAGAGTTTTTTTTTGAGATTACAAATACTGTTTCTTCTGCAGTTTCAGCCAGGGTTGCTCACCTTGATTCTGGGAGGTGCTCCAGATTACAACCTGTAATTTGGACCCTCACCCATCTTGGTGGCGAAGGAAGGCAAGTAGGGAAGTACTGGGCTCAGTACTGGCTAAGATTGTTCCCTATGGGATGAGGAAACATGGAAGAGGGAGTAGGGTGTGACTTATTTTTAACCAAGTTCTTGTAAAATAGCTAATTCAGAAAACCAGTTGTTGACACTGACAGTCTTGACAGCTATCCATCTGGATCTAATCTGCCTTTTCTGAGGGAAACTATGATCCTTTTTCAATCAGGTTTCCTTGACTTTAAGTCACACAGGTTTCAGGCCTGAGAACAAGACGGAAAATGGCCTGGCTGATGACCTGCTAACAATGGATGAAGGTCAAGTATTCATGACAGTTCTTTTGTTTGTCAGCAGTTTTTGATGCCTCTGATCAACAGATATTATGGGCTCATCTGTGGTACGCAACAGGGCAAGTAGAACTGCTATTGTCTTTGTGAGAGACCCCAGTGGATAGTTTTGGACAACTGGTCTTGTGCTCTAAGGGCTCTGTCATGAAGGATACCTCAGAAATAAATTTTGTCACCCTCCCGTTCAACACATATGCACATTAGTTGAGAGGGACAGTGAAGGGACATGGGCCGTGGTGTGTTTGAATAATGCCAACATCCAACTCACTGTTCTCCATGCTTGGCCTGGCTTGTGCAATGAAACAAATGACCCAGTCTCTTAAGAGATGGGAGCATGGATAAAAGAGAGCTGGTTCCGGTTTAAAGCAGGAAGAATGCAATACAATATTGGTGCGATGGGAGAAGCAACTAGAAGAAGTGCTGATTGGAACCCTGGATTTAGGGAGTGTCAGACAAGTTCACAGTTTGGGGTTGCTCCTGGATGCCAGGCAGAAGGATGTGCCCAACATAGTTATGTCCTCTGGGCTGGGTGATCTTTCTGATGCAGATCTTGCTGCAGTTATCTGTGCCTTTGTCATCTTGAGATTAGGCTATTGTAACGTATCGTACATTTGACTACACTAGGGACTACTCAGAAACTGTTTCACTAGTGTTCCATGTTCTGTACTGGTTGTATATAGAGTTCAAAATGTTGACACTGAAAGCCTTAAATGGTTTTGGACCTTGCAACTGAAGAGACTGGTTCTCTCTACCATGTGATACTGTGGCAATTGTATCCATGTAGGGACTCAAATTAGAGTTCCCTGGTTTAAAAGGGAAAAAGCTGCATAAAAGGCATGTTTGTAAAGGTTCCTCAGAGATTTCAGTATGTCTAATCTCACTCCACAGGTCTATTAGGGTTGCCACCTTTCTAAATGCTGGTAACCAGACCCCCAAGACTCCGCCCTGTGCCCCACCTCTTCCCTCAAAGGCCCACCCCTGCTCTACCTCTTCCCCCCAGGCCACACCCCTTCTTCACTTCTTGCCCCCACCCCTCCAAGGCCCTGCCCCTGTTGCTCACTTCCTGCCTACTATGAAAATGCACATATTTTCTGGATAAAAAAAATCAGAACACAAAATACTAAGATAAATGTGCACTATGTCAGAAGGAAATGCAGTGCGACCACCATTTAAGAAGCTTTAATCTGTTGGCTCTGTGTGTGTATAAATAAACCACTCATGATATATTTAAGGCCCTCATCCAGCAGAACACCTAAGCACATGCTTAGCGCCACACCAGTGGAACTACTCAAACCTACTGGATCAGTGCCTAAATATGAAATACCCAGAAAAAGAGTGAGATGTGCCATACAGAAGAAATACAAAAGGTTTTACTTGGTTCCTGATTCTTTGAATTTTAAAAGGCTTGGAGACTTTTCTTCTTGCTACTGCTAAAATACAACTCAGTTTTCCCCATAGAAAAGTATTGGGTAAAAACAAAACAAAACAAAAAATCAACCCTTCCACAAACAATTTGCTAATATTGTAAAAACAATTTTCTCTGTTTCAGCCACACTGCAAAATTTTCTGCACAGCTCTGATGGGTATTGTACCATAACCGTACTCCTTTCGAGCCTCTATGAAAACCTACTGTGATGTTTTGATTGTTCAACTTTGTTATTGTCAATGATCTTGTCCTAAGAAAGTCAGCGGTTGTCTAATTCAGTTTTGCAATCGTCTAAATTCTATCAGAAAATAATATGTTTACTGTTTTGTTATAAACTTAGACATGCATGGATTGTTTAAAGACATAACTCTGGCAATTCTTTTACCTTATTTTCACAAAAGCTCTCTTTCCCTCAGCTGAAATTTCAATACAATGCATGACAACAAAATGATATTTGGGGAAAAAATATGCTTAATTCGATAAAAATGGTAATTGTGATTAGATGTTATAGGAGGCAGACTATTGTCCCCACCACAGCAGCTCTGCTGAAGAATATGCTCACTGATCTATGTGTTTAAGTAACAAAAGCAGAAAATAAGGAGATACTGCAGATGTGCTATGGCTAAAACGATGACCTGATGACCCCACCCCCCCTCCATCTTACCAAGATCCATGCTTTTGGAGGTTTTCAGATTAATTGATTCAGGCTGCTTGGCTGTTGTCAAAGATCTGAAGTTGATGTTCTGATCTGTTAAATATGCTGCTGAATCCACTACAGAGCTGTGGAAAAAGCCATGCAAAACATTTAGGCACTAATACAAAACCAAGTGAAGTAATTAAAACTTTCACAATATAAATGTATTTTCCCCTCCAGTTGTTTGCAATCATGCATCTTAAATCAGTCTCTGATTGTCACGTTTCTTTTGTGAGATTTAGCACCTCTACTCACATGTATTTAATTATATATATTTGAATACAGATTCTCCGTGAAGATAACTGCTGTTTTTACATGCTTAATATTTAAATATGATTTTATTTAACAGAACAGAAGGGGAAATATCCAGTGCCAACAGTCTTGTTTTCTCTTCTGCTGAGCTCTATTTAACTACCTCCTGTCTGAATTGTTTACCAAATAGGTTGCACAAAATGCAGCCCCTGCACCTGGTTCACTCTCTCTGACATGTCAACAATCTATGTGAATGATGGCATTTAAAAACACCACCACCCATCGCCATTTCACAGAAGCTCACCAGAAATAAACCTGCATGGAGGAGCAAAATTCTGTTTCACAAAGGACTGAAATTTGAAATTTGGTTCAGTTTAGAATTAGAATGAAACCTGAAAATTTCAAAATTCTCTATGAAGGAAAATTCTCCCCACCTGCCCCCCCAAAAAGCAATTTTGGCTCAATGAAAACTTTTTGTTTTCATTTTGATTTTATATTAAAACATATAATTCAAAATTTAAGATAATTTCAAACAAAAGTAATTTCAAAACGAAAGACTGGAAAATTTCATTCAAAGAATGTTGAAAAAGGATGTTTCAAGAATTTGATTCCTCCCCACCGCCCATTTTTCCCCCAAAGGGAATTTCAGCAAGACAGACACAATTTTGCAAAGCATTTCAATTTAGTTGCAACTGCATTTTCTGACAGAAAATGGTTCCAAGTTTTTCTGACGAGCTCTACTCTCAGTTTCAATCCATGTCAGATGAACATATCCGAAATATTTAAAAAGAGAAATAAGAATAACAATCTCTCTCTTCCTCCCTTCCTTCCCAGTCTGCAGGAGATATGTAGCCAAATCCTCACTGAGGATAAAGCAACTGAGAATCTGGCCCATCATTTGATTAGTTTACAAAGGATTTTGTTTGCTTGTTTATGTTAGTTTGTATGTGTGAGTGTGTTATACACCTTAGAGACAAGAGAACATCATATTAAAAAAACAAAATTGACACCAATGAAATTCACCTACATTAAGTAAAACAGAATGAAAAAAATTATAAGAATCTACCTGGGTATGAAGTGTTTAAGGCAGTGGTGGGCAATCTGCGGCTCATCAGGGTAATCCGCTGGCCGGTCATGAGACAGTTTGTTTACATTGATTGTCCGCAGGCACGACCGTCCGCAGCTCCCAGTGGCTGCAGTTCGCCGTTCCCAGCCAATGGGAGCTACGGGCGGCCATGCCTGCGGACGGTCAATGTAAACAAACTGTCTCGCGACCTGCCAGCGGATTACCCAGAAGGGCTACAGGTTGCCCACCACTGGTTTAAAGTTATAGAAAAAACTGTATGATATACTGTTTTCTTTGCAAAATAGTGCATGATTATGAAAATAATTTATTTTTAAAAAATCTGTGTACCAATGAAGAGTGATAGATGTACCATAATTTGAAAACTACTGAAATAGACAAGATATTAAATTCCAAAATAACCAAGCATGATTTATATTGCAGAAATGTCAACTTGACCATAACTATTATGGTGCAGATTCCACATCTACTTACACACACACAATAACAGTGCTTTTAATCAATGAGAAATAATATCACAATTATCAGTGAGAACTGAGACATTCTAACTGTAAATAATAAAAATAACTGCAATAAAAAGTTAATCCAAACCTATGATTATAATCTTCAGAAAGCAGCTCCTCACTGGGATGTGGGGGCAGGGGAGGTGGAACTTCATTCTCGGCACTACCACGATCAGACATAGTCAACTCTGAAACTAAAAAGGGTTAAACAAAGTAGGAGCAGCAATTATATTACACCAGTTCACTGATCCATAACTGGACTGGAAGGCCTGAAGTGATCCACAAATTATACAAATACCTAAACTAACTAAATAATAGTAAGTTTAACTGTTACGTTTTTTTTCTCTTACTTAATTGGCCTCTCAGAGTTGGTAAGACAACTCCCACCTGTTCATGCTCTCTGTATGTGTGTATATATATCTCCTCGATATATGTTTCACTCAATATGCATCCGAAGAAGTGGGTTGTAGCCCACGAAAGCTTATGCTCTAATAAATTTGTTAGTCTCTAAGGTGCCACAAGTACTCCTGTTCTTTTTGCGGATACAGACTAACACGGCTGCTACTCTGAAACCTGTTTTAAGTTTTTTGGTTTGCAACATTTATTAACTCCCAGATAGGTAGTAAGGTGCCTTCCCTGCAGATATCTCCCTCTTCTCCTTCTCTGTTCTTAATAGGAAAAAAGAAAAGTTGCTACTATCCCATGACAGGATGGATAAGCAGGAAGCCCCGGATCATTGTCTAAATTCCTCCTGTAATACCCATCTACGACCACGAACATGACAAGTTCCTCTTCACCATTATTCCTTCCTTCTACTCTGTGCTTTCCTATCACTTACTCCCTTTGTGATCACCAGTCTATGAACATCTCTGACTTTTCTTTCTCCTAGCCTTCACCTTTTCTCCTTGTCGTCACTAACTGCCATCAGCATCATGATTGCCACTTTCAACTCTGTCCCTCTCCCCGTAACTCCTCATCCCCTCTCATGCCATTCTGAATGCTCCCGTAAGCCCCACCCTTGACCTCCCCATTATGTGCTACCTCCATTCTGATCTCACATTACTGAGCATCTCTGGAGAAAAACTAGTGACTATACTGACTTCTTCCACTGCGTGTTCTCACTCCCTCATCCTTCCAACCTGCCCTTTTTCCTTTCTAGACAGCATTACTCCTACTGTCCCAAATTGACCTATACCACAAGCTAATCTATTACATCAGTTCCCTCCCTAAAGGCCCTGATCCTGTGAGTTACCGAGTACATTTTGCAATATAGTGCGTGCCTTTAAATTCCCACTGACTTTACTCCACTGAAATTCAGTGGGAATGGTGTGTACTCAGTACATCTGAGGGTTGGTGTGGTGGATGCAGAGCTGCCATGTAATAATCTATTAATACTGATACAGTATTCATAAAATTATGATACATGTGAACTGATCAATGAGGTGAAGTTACAGTATATTGGGCTATTAGACTTTCCTGAATGAATATATTCATCTACTTTAGTAGAGGCTGTTGGAAAAAACAAGCAGGAAGGCAACACCATGGCTTCCAGAGAAGATCACCACAGCACACACTTGAGAGACAATGAAGACAGCTGTTAGCTTTGAGGATCCTATATCCTGTCTCCCATGAAGATATATGGCTTGTTTTGCCAGGCTCAGGGCCTAGAAACCAAAAAAGGCACCAAACAGTTAAAAAGCCCCTCTCAGGAGAGAAGGAGGGGTCAGCTGTCAAGGGCTGTCCCGGGGGACAGGGTGGCATAAAGAGAGGCTCTGCACAGGGAGTCTGAGGAAACTGGGCATGGGCCTGCCACAGTAACATCAGAGAGATGGTAAGCTCTCAGTAGACAGGTCTGCATACAGACTGGCTTATTATTTTAAAATAGATTCTCTTAAATGTTTTGGTTCTAAATAAATAACACTTTGCTTTAAGATGGCTGTCTGGTCACTGGTTACCACTATCATAGCACCTAGAGGGGACAAAGCTGCAGGTACTGAAGATAAATCAGATCTGCTAAGATAAGCATGGTTAAATTACAGGAGGTCGTGGCCCAAGGCCTGATCTGAGAATAGGAGAATTGCATGATTCCAATCCAGGAGAGACGATATGGCTTGAGGTAGACACATGAGGGAAGTGCGCTCTAAGAGACCAAGTGGGTCAACAGTGCAAGTAGCTCACTAACTGTGACAGTTGGGCCTTAGGTTTTATGCCATTTGGAGTAGGGAATGTTTCTGGTATTGTTTTTACAGCATGCACATTTTTTAAAACAGAATAGTAATAGTTATTTTCTATATCAATTAATCTTTTCATGCACACATGCCACTTTTAAATGTAGATACTTGTACATCCATGAAGATTCAGCATGCAAAGCTATTGTAGGGTAGATACTTTATCTTTACAATATTTCTTAACCAGAGAGATGACATCAATTCCCTTGCAACTATGATCATTTTTTGGATGTAAAAGAGCTTCTGATGAGGCAGATTCCAGTAATCTTTCAGCACCAGGAATGTGAAGTTGCTGGCACTGAAGTATTGCTTCTCGAAGAGGTTGTTCTAAAACTGCTATTTCTGCACAACAGCTTGGCAAGAAAAAAAAGTAGGGACCTGTGGGTGGCAAGCATTATTCATGCAAAAATAGACTGAACATTGGCATTTCAATATTGGATTAAAAACCCTCCTTTATTGAAATATCCACAGGCAAGACCAAATGTAATGTTTTGGCTATAACAGCTTTTTCTCAGACATTACATTTGATCTTGCTCGTGTATAATAAAAAAGATCCTTTAAAAAAAAAATCTAGTATTAATAAGCCAAGCTTCAATCTATTTTTATTGAGCTTCTAGAACAGTCTTATGTGTAGAGCAGTGACTAGTATTAGAAGTAACTTATTTGAAAACATTAACTGAGAGTATATTTATTAAACACAATTCAACTTCTGCCACAAATTTTTTTTTGCATTGGGCACACTGGTATTGTATTGACATCTCTGCTGTCTTTTATTACTATTTACATTATGGTAGCACCCAAAGCTTCAGATCAGGACTGGAACCGCAATGGGCAAGGCACCATGAAAACATATAGCAAGAGACAATCCCTGTATCCGATATAAGACTGTAATCCTGCAACTTGTTCAGTGTGGGGAGACACACAAGCACATTTGGGGTTACTGGGGCCCAGTGGGGTTGCATGGTTTCACGTGTGCAGATACCATTGTAGGATCGGAGCCTATTATAAAAGAAAATGCAAAAACTTTTTGTAACAAATGATATGGGGGTGGGCGTGGAGAAAAGGGTAACACTGAGAGGAATGTGGGTTAAAGTAGGTTAAATGTTCAAAATTAAACAACTATTTCTACAGTAAAATACATGTCACATGTATGTGCACTGTATTATTTTAGGGACATATCCTCTGCTCACATCTACCTGAAGGATTTCAGCTCTGATCTACAGAACCCTCTACTGGGTATTTTGCTACTCTAGGCAAATGCGTGTCCCATTCTCCCCGCCCCCACCCCCCCAATTCTATTTGATTTCACTAAATACGTCTTTTTTTAAATGTAAGTCACAATACAAAGATACTTCACTTAGTTTCTCAGTAATATTTAAAATTCTCTCTCCTTAGCCCTTTGACTGACACCACCCATATCTTCCCAGGCCTTGGTTTCTCTCTCTCTCTTTCCTCCCTCATAAAGGGGTCTCTCTTTGCCCTATGTCTGTGGTGTCTTCTCAACATCTAACATCCATTCACCTCTCACATCGTGGTGGGTTGTCTCCTTCCTTTAGCCCCTCAAAAATGTAACACAAAGAACGATCAAAACAAAAAGACACACACTAGCAACCTCTGCTGCTAGGATCCCTCAGAAAGTATAGCTCTTCCAAACAGGACTTATTCTGATCCTTATCTAGGTACTTTAAAAAGTGCCTGATTAGGAATATGAGGAGTCCCACTGAATGGGTGAGACTTCTCAAATGCTTAAAAACCTTGTGGAGTCAAGGCTATACATGGCCGCCAGTGGGGTTTTTCTGCTGGTATGGGGAGGAGGTAGGAACATAAAGTGTCAGTGTTAAAGCTGGGTGTTGTACTCAGTTATTTACAGATTAAGAAAATTATAGTTACTAGTTTCAAAGTCTGGAATGGGGTATGTAAATATGATGTCCTAATTCTATTGTACATTAAGGGTCTGTTTCGAACCTTAAAAATATTTTAAGTCTTAATAAACTAAAATAGCAAATCTTATGAATATTATGGTATAGTATAAATTCCTACTGGATTATAAAATGTGACACAAACTAGACAATTTGCTTTTAAAAATAATCACTGTACCCATCAAGGATGTATAGAAAATAAACATTTTGACAATATATATTTTGCCATCATCATTTGTTTTTTATCCAAACTTACGTGTTGGGCAGTGAGCTAGAAACTGTTACTTAAACTGGAACGTGTGCCAGGAATTTAATTCACGACTTCTGAGTCAGCTCTCCCACCCTCCCCAGATCTTCAAGCTTCAAAGTAACAGAGCCTGCACTTACTCTAATTAACTGTTTTTCTAGTTGATGTGGATTTCTGAAAACAAAAAGAGCACTTTTTTTTTTTGGCATGAAGAAGGCTGTACAGTACATACCTTTTAGTCTTTCCTGAGGACTGTAAGTTACAAATTGCTGCAGGACAGCATCATTACGCCTGGAGATAGTGGTAAAGGTCTGACTGCCCTCAAGTGCTCGTTTTGGAAAAACCCCATGATCTGAGTGTTCCTAAGAAGAAACAGAATCACATATTTTAATGTAAAAAATAAATGTCCAACAGAGCCAAGGAGCAGTAATCACTAAATCACACTGGGGTTTGGGCATTATTTGTCAGGCGTTTATTGTACATTATTAACTCTGCAATGAGAAACATGAAAGAGGTCTTCAGACCATTGCTGACCATGAAAAAAGAGATTACCCTTACATGAGAAATGATCATTAAGGATGATAAACAGAGAAAAGGACTTCTTTTCTGACCCACAACTGGCTTCATGTTATTCCTCCATCTGCGAGGGCAGCTTGTGGCATTGTCAACATAAGGGCACAGGCAATGCCAGTGATATTTCTTTGCCAGCCAGCTGGTTCCCTTCGCTCAGAGACTGAGTGTGTATGCTCTGATGATCACACACTAAAGCAGCCTTGTAACCCCTAAACCCAGGTCTTCTGGCTGGCAGCTGAACAAACTTTTGCCACCCCTCTAGTCTGTTTTTCTTTTGAGATATTCCCCCCCGCCTCCCCACCCCATATCCATATTGCAACTCCTAATTTATTCTCCTGACAGTTGCTGTTAAAAAATGCACAATTTATCAAACTGGGACAAACCCAAAAAGGCACTTCTGTAGTTGTTGTACAGGGGAAATTATTAATATAGACAGTAAAATGCTTTGGCTAATTATTACCAGGTAGAATGATATTCTCAACATTGTAGTTTCTTTGAAAAGCCGATACATAACCAGAAAGGAGCCTCCACTTGGCCTTCATTTTACAAAGTTGACTTCACCTGGGCCAGCGGATTTCATATTGCAGGTGTAGCACTTATACATTTTAGAACATGTATGTTAGAATCTTTTAGTAAGAAGTAGATGGAATGCCAATGGGCCAATAGTGTCACTCATGCTGCCCAGAACCCGCCCCCCAAAACTCCGCCCCCACCTGCCGAAGGTTCTGGGAGGGAGTTTGGGTGGGAGAGGGGGTCTGGGGTGCAGGCTCTGGGATGGAATTTGGGTGCTGGATGCAGGCTCTGGACTGGTGCAGGGGGTGGAAGTGCAGGAGGAGGGGGTGGGGTTGCAGGCTCTGGGAGGGAGTTTGGGGGTAGGAGGAGATGTGTGGGAAGGGGGTGCAGGGTCTGGGAGGGAGATTGGGGACAGGATGGGGTGTGGGGAGGGGCTGCAGGCTCTGGGAGGGAGTTTGGAGGCAGGAGGGAGTATGTTTGGACGGGGTGTGGGTGCAGGCTCTGGGAGGGGATCAGGGGGTGCAGCACTTACCTGGGGCTCCAAGGCAGGGCGGGCCGGGGAGCCTCCGGGCGCTGCTGCCCCCCAGGCACCGCCCCTGCAGCTTCCCATTGGCTGCAGGGGTGCTTGGGGTGGGGGCAGTGCGTAGAGGCACAGCCCCGCCCCGGGGCCGCAGGGAGGGACCAGCAGCCACGTGGAGCGAGCAAGCCGGAAGCCACTCAGCTCCACTGTGATGCCAGTGGTGGGCAGGGCTCCAGGGCCATTTTAAATCGCCCAGGGGACACGCGGGGGGTAGCACGCGTGGGGGTGGCAGGCGGGGCCAAGGGAGAGACCTGTCTCCAAAATTGCTGGAGCCCCACATTGGAGAGGTTCTTGGGCCACAGATGGCCTGTGGGCCAGGAGTTTTAAGGCAAGGAACTGTGCTGAAGAGGTCAAAGGGAGCAGGGTGTGTTGACAGAAGAGTCTAGCACTCCTGGAAGACTCTGGCCTTGGCTACACGTGCAGCTGTACAGCGCTGTGAGGTAAACCTGTCTTTGTACAGCTGAGTAGGGAAAAGCGCTGCAGTCTGTCCACACTGATAGCTGCCAGCGCAGTGGTGTGGCCACACTTGTAACATTGGGAGCGGTGCATTATGGGCAGCTATCCCAGCATTCATGTGGCTGCAACGAGCTTTTCAAAACGGGGTGGTGGGGTGGATTGTGACAGGGAGTGTGGGGGGAGAGAGAGTGCTTTTTGGAGCATGTCAGCTCTCTATTTTGCAAGTTCCGAACTCCCGACCCCCTGCTCATTCATTCACTCACTCAAAGCAAGCTGCAAACTGTTTGCTTTTCTCTGTGGTACGAGCTTTGAAACCGGCACTTCCGCATTCCTGCAGCTGGTCACAACAATGGAGAGGATTGGCCACTTGACAAGGTGATTAGTACAGCGCTGCAAGCGTTTACACTCACACCCGTGAGTCGTAGCCACTCCGCTGCAGCTGTTATTCCTCTCGGAGATGTGGAGTACCTGCAGCGGTGTACCCAGAGAGATACAGTGCTGTAAGTGCCCTGCCAGTGTGGACGGGGAGTGAGTTACAGCGCTGTGGGAGGCTTTACAGCGCTGTAACTTGCAAGTATAGCCAAGGCCTCTATTGCAGTGGGCTTTTGCAAGCTCTGTGTTTGCCTGATTCTGATTACGGTTTTAATAAAATGTTCCAGTTTTAAACAGCACGCCTGGTCCTGAGTGTGTAACACAGGCACCAACACTTATGCATCCCTTTTCGAGTACTATCACTTGTGCACACAAGTGTTTTGTGTGTATAACTTATCTTCTATGCGCATAACTGATAGTACTGAAAAATGCATGCAAGTGAGCATGCCTGCAAAGTTATGCTCAAAGCAAGAGAGACTGGGTTAAATTGCCTTTGAAACTTTTCACCATCATCCTCATGTTCCTATTACGCCTCTGGAGTTTAGTGCAGTGACGAAGCTCCACCACTCCAGTCTGTTTCTGGCAAGTCTTTCAATGGTTCCCCAGCTATGCCCCAGGTTTTTCAGCTCAGCTTCCACAGCTCATTGCCATGTTGTTTTCGGGCAGCCTCGTTTCTGCTTGCCTTTAGGTGTCCATCTTATTGCTATTCTGGTGATGGAATCAGTTTCCATTGGAAGCACATGACCGATCCATCTCCAACACCTCCTGGCCATGATGGTGCTCAGATCCTCTTGGCTGCACTGTGTCAATAGATCTTGGTTTGCGATCGTTCTGGGCCAAAAGATACGGAGGATTTTGCTGAGGCAGGTTGTATGGAATGAAGACAGTTTGGACATGTCATACTTTCTCATTCCCCAGCATTCTGCACTATAAAGTAGTGTTGAAAGTACGCAGCTCTGATAAATCTTCAGTTTGGTTTTGGTATTGTATTTTGATGATTTCCAGGCTGTATTTAAGCTCCTGAAGGTGTTCCTGGCTTTATTGATTTTGTTCCAGATGTCCTGGCTTGTTCTTCCATCCTGGCTGATGGTGCTGCCCAAAATACGTGAATGTTTCTACATTGGTGAGAACATAATCCTCTATCCGTACTAGTGATGGTGAGGCAACATTAAAGGTCATGATATTTGTCTTATTGCAGTTGATTTTCAGTCCAATGTGCTGGCTGAATGCATTGAGTCGGGTTGTTTTTTCTTGTATATGGTGTTGGGTATGTGATAGGAGAGCGACATCATCTGCGAAGTCCAGGTCTTCAAGGGATGAGAAGAGTGCCCATTTAATGCCTCTTAACATGTCTTCTGTTTTACGCCGCATTACCCAGTTGATGGCAATGTTGAAGAGGATTGCAGACATGACACACCCCGACGTACTTCTGTTTTGACTTCAAAACTGAGCTCACTGTGATCAACACTGCATGTAAAGTTGAAATAGAAGCTTTTGATGACGTTGATTATATAGAAAGGAATTCCGTACGCCCACAGAATGCGCCATAAGTTGGTCCCGTGAATGCTACCAAAAGCCTTCTCAAAGTCTATGAAATTTATGTAGAGTTGCTGTTGCCATTCTAAGCACTGTTCTATTATGTTTCGTAGAGTGAAGATCTGGTCTGTGCATTCACGCCCTTTCCGAAAACCAGCTTGCTGTTTTCTCAGAACACTATCAACTGCCTCTGATATACACTGGACTATGATCTTACACAATACTTTGCTTGGCACAGATAAACGTGTGATACCACGCCAGTGAGATCTGAGAACTGAGAGTTCATTTCTTTGGTATCTTCACTATAATCCCACTGGTCCACTCATCTGGCACTTTTCCCCTTTCTCAGACTGATGTAAATAGAGGGGTCGGGATAGATGCGGCTAATTTAGGATTTACCTTCAACAATTCTGCATTCAAGTTATCCTTGCCAGGAGCTTTCCCATTTTTTAAGGATTTGATAGCTTGAATGATCTCTTCCTTAGTTGGGGTGTCTGTGTTGATATCAAGATCTTCTTCTGCCTCCTGGATGTTTGCTTCCTCTTTAGGTGGCTCCCTGTTCAGCAATTCTTTGAAAAGCTCTGTCCAGCGCATTTCTTGTTCTTTTTCGATTGTTAGCAGGTGTCCTTGTTTGTTCCTGATGAGAGTGTTTGTTGGTGTCTGCCATTTACCACTGATAAGCCCCATCATTTTATAGACGGTTCCTTGTTCACCACAAGCAGCTGCATCCTCTGCTTGTGTTGCCAGATTATCAATATAATGCAGTTTGTCTGCTCTCACAAGGCGTTTGACCTCCCAGTGTGCCTTGCTATACTGCTCATCGTATTTGTCCTTTTGCTTCTGGGATTGTGTGTCTAAAACTTTTTTCTTCAGGGTTACTATGGCGTTCCACGTGCTGGGTGTAACCCACTACTTCCTTCTCTTCTGCCTGTAGCCTAGACAGGCTTCACTGCTCTGTTTATAAATTGCTGTTACTTTGTCCAACTTCTTGTTGATCTCCTCATCTGCATTCTCCTTCTCTTCATCAAGATCTGCAAGTGCTTCAAACCTGTTCTTTAACTGCAGAACGAAGGCTTTCTGTATTTCAAGGGACTTTAGCTTGTCAATATCATCATGTCTCTGTCCCTTGTTTGGTGGACCCACACTTCTCAGTTTTACCTTGATGGAAGCTGTCACAAGGTGGTGGTCGCTGCCAACATCTGCACCCCTTCTCACTTTCACATCTGTCAGTGAGCGTTGCCATTTGCCATTGATCATTATATGGTTCTTCTTTTGCCTTATAAGACTAGTGATTTTCCAGAGAAAGACAGGCTGGCCATAAGGCCACCTTTACTAAGACCACTTCATCAATTTTGGGATCCTACTGGTGACAACACAGAGACAGCTACAGACCTACTCTCATAAGCTTCTTCTTTTCTTTCAGTAGCCACTGGCCAAATAACATGTTGACTGTTTTCCCCTCCACCTCATTAGAATGCTCCATTCACAGACAGTTAAATAGTATATTCAGAGTCTCTTTATTATGGGGAACACCCATTGTTAACAATTGTACATGCCTCCGGTGTACCAGAATTCTTTAAGTTACATTGGGAAGATTTAACACTTATTCCTTATGCCAAGTGATCCACATCTATTACCTTTTGCAAGTATAATGCCGGCTAAATCAACCCCTGCACTGATACAAACTACTACTACTAAATTAAAGATGGGGACCCACTGGGAGAGGCAGCCTTAAATTAACAAAAACCAAAAAATCTGCTTTTCCAGCTCTTTGATAAATGACACAATCGATATCCCAACAACTGATCAGTAACCAGCTTGTAAAACAGAGCTGTCATGGAAGGCCTCCATTAGTGTCCTGACCAATAAAACAAATAATGGATTTTAAAACATATTCTGCTTATACGAAGCTGGAATGTAGCAGGCAGGAAATAGTTTTGGGGAAGGGAAAGAATGGGTCATGGCCCATTTTGCGATAGTCTCCAGCCTCAAATGGAATTACAATTGAACCTCGAGCACATTCTATAAAAATTAATTTCTGTTTAAAATGAATTTGATTCAATCAAGAGCTCATTATGTATTCTTCACAGGGCATGTGTCAGAATTGTTTATGTGTTTCATACATCTGGGTAATGTATAAAACTATATACTTTGACTATGAAAAGCAGCTTCTTGTATTTTTATTACATCAATAATTCAGTTGTAGTATTGTTGCCAAAGCTGACTTTTTAAAAATAGAAGGTAGCAATGATAAGCTTTCTTTCTAGTTTTCTCAGTAGGTGGATTATCATTCATACTTCATCAGAACACAGAATAAATATAAATGCATAATACTAGTTTTACATAAGGTACAGACCATGAAAGATAACTGCAGTTGAATCAATTTGCTTTCTTAAATTTAAGTATAATAACCCTAGAATATGCTTTCAACCTGTCTAGAGTGGTATCACCATTGATTGTCTAATTGTGGTAATAAGACTACAAAGGGTCTATGTCTCCTACAGGAAAAGATTTGAAAATATTAGCCAGTAATCTCAGAAAATGCCCCAGGTAAAGTACACACTTGCTTTCCGTGTCTCCCCTCTGCTGTGTCACAGTGTATCCACATGAGACAGCCTTTGTGAAAAGCAACTTCCCAGTGCAGTAACAGTATAAAATTTAGCAATTTTTTTTTTTAATGTCAATCCAGGTGGGAGGTAAAGCAAGTTTAAATATAACTAGTGAGGTGGAATCTACCATATAGAGTTAACTATTCACAGCTTAAGGGAAGACAGCTTCCCTTCCCCAGAACAACCATTCTCTCTTATCTTTTATATATAAATACATACACAAAATATTATTCTCAAACATTCACCCAGAGTACTATCATGTGATTTCTAAAGGCTCTTTTTTCTTTTTGATCTTAATCACAGTTGTATCTGTTTCTTGTGAACAGTATATATATTGAAAATCCACTAAAAAATTGTTATTTAAAAGTGAACGTTAAAATTAGTGTGACGGGTGGATAACCACCTCCAGAAGCCAAGGGCAGACAGCATATTTCTTTACAAGAATAGTAAAGGCACACAGACAGATCGTTTACCTCATTTCCTAGAGTTGAGTTCAAAAAATTCAAGAACTCAAAACTGTAGTAACTTTTTTAAAAAGCGGCTTTGCTTAATACAAGTACTAATGTGCTCTTTTGAATCAGTGCAGGGATGTGCCAGGTTTAGGGAGTCAGAACTATAATTTAAATGAGTTTATTTTTTAAGTGTTAGTTAAAGCCATACGGTGAGTGAAATTGTAACCCCATTGAAATCAATTAGGGGTTTTGCCATTGACTTCAATGAGGCCAAGATTTTTCACCCAGTATCTTTAAGACACGCATAGAAATAGGAAGATATTTTCAAAATGGTGGATGGAGAATTGCCCCAATAACTATTATTAATGCAACTGTGAATACAATTCTTTGCTTACCACAAGGAGGTCTAACTCATGAACAAGTTTTTTGCATCACCTGCATTTGTCTATCCAGTCTCCTGAGAACCACCAACTGAATCATCCCACGAATGTTCCCTTCCATAGACATGGAACGTCTCAGTGTCTCCATGGCTTCATGGTTGGATTTCCCCAGAAGAGACTCTCCATTCACTGCAATCAGCTGGTCATTTATTCGCAGGCGGCCATCCTAGAAGGCAACCAAAAACATTAAAGTAATACCATGTAGGGGCAACATATATAGGAGAGCAAGATACAGTCGTGTTTCTTTCTTAGAAGCTACATACAATCCAGTTGTAAATATCACCAAGTCTACGTAAAAAGTCTAGGTAGCGCTAGCTGGCCAATTCCCAGTATTTGAGAAGTACAGTTCATGAGACAATTACAAAAACATAGGCACTTTGTGCCAGTCCTAAAGAGAAGAAACTGGGATTATGGACTCTGGGATAGAGAACTTATACCACATCTGTTAGTATCAGTTGTACAACCAAGAATGAACATTGCAGCATATTTTTAAATTCTGTGCATCTGTTGTCAGAATCTGCTAAAAAACGATACAGCTCCACAAAGTACTCTGTCCTATAGTGCTCATCATGCCATAGTTAATATGCCACCATATAAGGAAGTGTTCTCATACAGAATGGTCACTAAGACGAAAGCATCCACATTTTAATGAAAAGCTCTTCATGTATTTTAACAGCTAACCCTGCTGCCAATAACAAAATTGAAGTTGTGCCATCTAGAGCGGTTTGTGTTTTTGAAGAAATCCATTCACTTTAATTGCCAGCGTTTGCTGACAGCTGTAGGCATAATAAACGTATGGACATTTATTTTCTGCCTTTAGTAGGCATATTGTTGCTTTTATTAATATCTGTGAATGATTTTTTTGTTTCTGTATGCAGAGAATACAGAGAAATAAAAATACAGAAAAATTCTGCTGATCAAGAATTGAAGGTTTCTCTTAGGCCTTGTCTACACTGCCACTTTACAGCGCTGAAACTTTCGTGCTCAGGGGTGTAAAAAACCACCCCCCTGAGCGATGCAAGTTTCATCGCTGTAAAATGGCAGTGTACACAGTGCACCAGCGCTGGGAGCCGCACCCCCAGCACTGGTAGCTACTCCCCTCATGGGGGTGGGTTTTTTTACAGCGTTGGGAGAGCTCTCCGAGCACTGGTGCCGTGACTACAAAGCCATGTTAAAGCGCTACGTTGGTAGTGAAGATATACCCATAGAGTTCAGTCAGTTCACAACTATCAAGTTGGTGTCAGAACTCTGAAAGAAAAAAAGAAAGGGGCTGAGACTGAAGAAATCTATCATGAATGGGAAGAAGGGCTGAAAGAACAGCAGGAAAGGAAGTGGGACCAAAAAAACATTAGCTGGCTTAAAATGAATTTGGTTCACTGTTCTTCATAATGCCCTCATCAGAACTGTTTATACATCTCATAGCTGTGCAGTCCAAAATGTGTATACTTTTCCATTTTTATTTTTCTATCACACTGATGTTCAATTAACTCTTGTTGCATTGCTGCCAGGTCTAACTAAATGATTTTTGTGTGAGTGACAGTAGCCATGTTAAACCCAGTTTTCTTAAGTATTATTTTAGCTGGAACTGGGAATCAATCACTGTTACCAGAGCAGGGTACGATGAGAAAGCAGTGTCATAGTACTAAACGGAACAAGAGAGGCCAGAAAAGGAAAATAAACAGGAAGGGACTAGGAGGAAGGAGAGGACTGGAAGATGAGTGAAACAATGAGGGAGGGTGAAAGGACAGAAGAAAATAAGGATGATTATGACCTTCGTAGAGAGGGACCAGGAAAAGAGCACAGGAAGCAGTAGTACCATTTGGGAGGAATATAATGGAAAACACTCCATTGTTTGTGTTTGATGCCAACATAAATTTACATATAGCCAAAGGAATATGCTAGCTCCACCCTTCCACCCCATACAAAAAATGGTGCCTTAGGATATGTGAAGGTGAAGGGAGAGAAAAGAATTAACACTTTGGGACAGGGCCCTTGATTACTTGCATATCAGTTATAATTCCTTTATGCCCTAATAAAATTCACTGAAAATAATGATTCCCTTGATTTCAAGGGGAGCATGAGGGGAAAAAAAGCCGCCTTTTTGTAAGCCTCTAAAGATTTTGATTTTTTTTTTTTAAACAGATTCATATTCTTCTCGAACAATCCCATAGTCTCTTTCCTGTTCTGTGGATATATCTGTGAGTAAGCCCTCTTGCTTAAAAATCTGTTGAAGCTGCTTTCACAAATATGTACAAGTACACACTCGACATTTTCAAATTTTAGCCTACATACAGGAATATGCCAATAAATTATTTTTAATTAATCAGTACAGTCTTAGAAACTCCTGTACTTTCTTGTTTTTGCTTTGCAATTCTTTCATGTGAGATTTAGTATTTCTGCAAATGTTGGCTGTCTTTTATAAACTTAGTTCTTAAAAGCTCTTTTGACCTCTTTAAATGTGGTAGGCTTAAATGCAAAGCTCGTGACATGATGGACTGAATAAAAGCAAAGTAGTCCTACATGTTTTACAATGCAGTACATTTAGAACTACTAAACCAATCCACCAAAGACAATAAACAGTTGGAAGGCAGCTGAATACTGTTTTTGCAGGGGATCGGGAGAAAGTTATTTAGCACAGAGACTTTCTGTGATTTTGAGGAGTGGGGAAAATGTTTGAACAACCCTCAAACTCCGATTTGCACATTACTGGTGTTATGGTCTAGTGTTAGTACACTGTACTGCAAGATAATCCGCTTGGCTCAAGACAAGCTACATGTTTGTGCTGCTGTATAGTATTTGTACTTTTCCTTTTATCTCTAAAAGGTTTCTTTCTGCCTTTTGATTAGGAAAACAACTTTTAGAGTCTGAACAAATTAGGTATTTTTTTCATTCTATCTTTGAACCTGCAAGTGGGCCACAGTCATTAAGATGAAATTAATGTTCCCTGGCATAGTCTGAGTAAATGTGATTTATGTGGGGAATCAAAGCAAAAGGTAAATTTATGGCCACCTCTATTTGTAGGCAGGCCACAGGACACTTCGCATTTTGACTGTAATATTGGCCATTGCACTGTATTCTCCTATGTGGAGTTTGCCCCCTTAAATCACACTCTGGCCACTCCCTGGGACCACCTTTGACCTTCTTCCCTCTGAGTGAACTGCTTCCTGGCATTCAGAGCAGCCATTCTGTTCCCTGACCCACCCCATACAATTAACTACTAATATTTACATTACTATTGCAACTAGAGCCTCCAAAGAGACTTGTACTCCATTGTGTTGAATGTGGTACAAACATACAGGAAGAAACAATCTCTGCCCTGAAAAGCTTACAGTAGTAGTTCTACTGCATTTCCGCTACAGAGGAGGATGTGTGTAGGAGGAGCAGGATTCCATCCCAAGTGCCCTGCCAATATGTACAAGACAGGAAATTGAAAACAATACAATTAAAGAGTGAGAGGATGCATCTAAGCACATTCATCCCAATAGGCACCTTAGCATCTTGTCCTCAGATGAAAGCATATTTAGCATCCGGTCCTATGTAACTGCAAATGTCATGTACATTGGTAATACCTCACTTATAGCTATTGAAGCCAAAGAGTACATTCTTTGCAAAAATCACAAAAGGATGTTGCTGTGGACCATTAAAGAGCAATCATCAAGTAGAACAGTGGTTTAATCTTGTACGGTTCTTTAAATGCATCAGGATTCTTATTAGGGTTATTAAGTTTTTCCATGTCACTAATTTTTTTTTTAAGACACTAACGGCTGGAGGAGTTAAGTTATCCAATGATCACTAGGTATTCTGGTGGTTTCTGTGGGTAAACTGCATGAGTTGGGATTCTCTAAAATCTATAAGATATATAAAAATTAGCCTAAAGATTTCAATTTCCCCCTATATTTTCCACAATTTCTTTACTGGGTTTCTTCACTGCCTGCTCAAACAAGTGAGTTAAATCACTGTGCTAAAATTTCAGAAGTCATTGAAAAATGTTGGCCCGTCTTCAGACCTTCTGTCCAGACTGATAAGAGATAATACTAACCAACCAAATTGTTTGCATTTTGTACATAACCTAATACATTCTTTTCATTCTGGAAAATAGACATCAGTGAAAGAAGTCTCAAACTCTGACACATTAAAGACATTTGGACAGCATAAAAAGGCACTTTCCATGAATAAATATCCAATTTGTAGCACTACATCTATTGCAATGCTGAGACAAATTTGTTGGTCTCTTGCTGGTATGTGTGATCTGTAAAAGGGTAAGAAATAATCTGATGACTTCAAGCTGATCTGCAAATCCTGTATTCATGCTCTTCTGAAGACCAATTGTGATTGTGTGGGAGGAGGTTGTTTTTCAAAATTGTAACATCTAACAATATAACAAAGACCAGATTCGTTTTTACATTCCAGCCACAAAAGCGAGATACTGAGATCATCCTCATGCCTAAAGGGTTATGAACGTCTTGATTTTGCAGTAGTCACAATTTCACAAAAGAACCTTGGTTTACTGAAAAGCAATACATGTGTTTAAATCCAAGTGTTTTTGGTTCTAGAATCTAGTACAATAAACTGCAGGGGCAAATGCTCAGAATAAGTGCAAATAAAAGCTTTGAATTTAAAATTCCCAATACACAAGGCTTTTAACATAAATGTTAGAAGTCCTGATTTACACATCCCTACACACACACACACACACACACACACACACACACACACACACACTTTTTAAATTGATGCAAGGAATTTTATAGTTCACAGTTGGGTGTCGACTGTGCTGTGCAAGATATCCAACCACAGGAATATAGAGAATTGGAAACTCAGAAAGAGTAGCTTTATTTACATAACACAATTCAGGTTGGTGTGGTGACTTGGCTGTATCATACTGGGCTACTCTGAAGAAGATCCAGACTTGGAAGTGACTGTGGGACTTGCTATCTGTGTCAGTAGAAGGCTGTTTTCATAGTACATAGAAAGTTCCCACTATCTTTGCTCTAAACAGGAGAGAGGAGCTAGCCAGCTGGTAGTCAGAGAATAGCTTTGGGTTGTATGTCCAGCAACAGCATGAGTGTGTGTCTGTCTGAGGAAGTCCCTAGGCTTTATAGGAAAACCTGGCTTCTTTGTTCCTCCAAAAGTTATGTTCCTTATATCAACAGCTATACGAGTTCTGATACTCTTTACATTATCTTACCACGTTTGCTTTGTCTAACTCATTTATCATTCTGTTCCAAGCAGGCGTGGACAATGAGCAACCTCTTTTTGGACTGCCCCCTTCCATTGCTGCATGTTATTCCTCCTTGTGAAAGGACGTTTTGTATCCAGTCTGGTTTTAAGGGTTGTACTGGCCCTAATGTAACAACTTGTGAAATGGAACTTTTGTTAACAGGTCATTTGGGTGGTTCATGCCTAGAGCAATGTAAGCAGATTTTGCCCAGTAGTTAATAGTGCATTCATATATAAGTACAGTGAGAGGAAGGATGGTCCAGTGATTAGCCTGGGACTTGGGAGACCAGGATTCAATTCCCTACCCTTTGTGACCTTGGCCAAGTTACTGTGTCTTTCAGTGACCCATCTATAAAATGAGGATAATAGCACTGTAGTCAGGCTGCACTATCATAGATTAAAATCTATTAAAATCTTTAACATACAATTTAGTACCACCTCCATAGATCCATTTCTGATACAGCTATCTATCCCAAAGTACTGCACTAGCAACTATACAGGTAGGAAAAGAAACAAACAGTGACCCTAGAATGAAAGAAATTATATGTATTTTTTCCCCTTATGTTCTTTATAATTTCACTCTCTACAAAGGGAAATGTACTGTTATAAACAACAGCAACGGAAAGAGTTGGGGAGATGATGGGAGGAATTTGGCAGACGTGTTAATTGTTAATATTTTAGTTTAAATCTGTTATGTATGTTTCTAACTATACATGGATTCACAATACTACAATAAACAAAGTTTAAAACCCTCTCACAATTCTAGAACTGGAGAACAGGGAAAAATGCTCATCCCATTGTTGGTAAAAGGGGAGTAGGTCATGTGGGTAAAATTCTGATGCTTGAAACCCCAGCAAAGAAAAACAACAACAGTGAAATAAACTTTGTTTCTTGGTTAACCAATTTTCTTGCTGTCACAAAAACAACCCCCTTCCTTTTTTGGAAAGGTAAATAAAGGCAACTAAGTATTAAACAGTCATATAAAGGCTAAAGCCTTGATTGATGCCATCTGGCATTTAACACCAGCTGTAAATATGTGGTTGTGTAGTTTTTAATGTTGTGAGTTGTCTTACTCAGCAGGCTAGTGTCAGGAGAGGAATTTACACAAACTGAACTAAAGGTGTTTCTACGGAAAATAGAATTGTTCAGATCTGCTGAGATAACACAAAAGAAAATATTACATTATAGATCCAAAACAGCTAAACGTATTACATGACAAGATGATTAAGACTCTTGTTTTTAATTTCACTAAAGCTATCTCTATTCACATTTTATTTGGTGAATTTGCTGCCAATAAATTTCCTAAACATTAGCAAGTTATTCAAGTGCTTTTTAATCAAAAAAGTGAACAAGAGTCCTTACTTCCATGAGAGAGATGAACAAGTCATAATGTTGTGATTTATCAGTTTGTGTTCAGCTCAGACATCAGTTCTATGCAACTGTTGTTAACCTCAACTAAGGCACGCTTTGTCCATAATACTAACAATATTTTGATTGGCAAGGAATAAGAATATGACAAACTAGGTTTCCACTGACAGTTCAGATTGAATACATTATTCTCCATCTCACAGGCTTGCTGAATTTTTATTCTTGTAAACACTAAATAAGTTTGTAATTTCATTGTCTTTACACTGCTTTATGGGTCCAGCGGTGTCACCCTTGGAACTCTGGAAAGACTAAAAGCAGCCCAGAGAGAATGCTACATGCAATACGCTATTACGGAAATGCTCTAATGCAGCGGTGTCCAAACTTTTCCTGTCATGCCCTCCCCACACCCCCTACCAGTAATGGAATCCCCTCCATTACGGCACAGTTGGCTCAGCAGAGGAGTTTGGGCTGAAGGTGCAGCTGGGGGCTGAACTCGGGATGGGGGAGGAGCTGGGGCTAGACGTGGAGATGGCCTGGCAGTGGAGCGGGGGCAGAGTGGAGTTATGGCTGGGGGCAGAGTGGGGCTGGGGGACAGCCCTCCCCACCCCCCGTAGGGGCTGGCCCAGGCCTCGCCACTCCTCCACCCCCCCCCAAAAAAGTTCCTACGCACCCCCCTAGCGGGGCATGCACCACAATTTGGACACCACTGCCCTAATGGCTCAGTAGTTACGGCTGTTTTGAGTTCTCCACTTAAAGCAAGGTATGAATCCCTTAATTAAAACAGGAACATTCACAGAAATCACTCTCAAAAATGGGCTTTTGCAAGAACTGTAATCTTCTATGCCACTTCACACTTTTAAGTGCCATTGTGGTACAATTCAAGAAGGTTTCAAATCGCTCTTTTCAGGTTTCCACCGATTTTTTTCCCCCCAAGGTCACATAACATCACAATCACAAGTCACAAATGTACAATTTCACAAGGGTTTCAACTTGCATTAAAGCCCAACCTGGAGTTATTTGTGAGGAAAAATAAAAATATAAAATGTGATTTGGTTTTTCTGTTATAACTTTTGTTTTGGTTTGTTTTCTTGCACCACGGAGGCTGGCAGAGTTGTGAATGTTCACAGCCAGCTTCGGTTGCTTCCCAGGTCATGAGGAAGGCCACTTCCCCATCTGACAATCCTATCCAGGTTCTTACACCGCACTGCACTGTGGAGTCTAAACACCTTTACCAGATCGGCATTCATTCTGACAGACCTTGCTAGGTATGCGAGTTCAGGGCTTTCGGTCTCAAACTCTAGCAAGTCTACAAAAAACAAAGGGGAATGGGTGATTTAGAGGATGACAGATAACAAGGAAGCCGCAACTTCAGAGGGTACAGAAGGCACCTATAGGGGTCAGGGACAGACGTGGAATGAGAAGGCAGCATAGGGGGCACAGGGACAGAGAAACACCTTTCTCCATGTTAGACATTTTAAGAATGCAAAGTTTAGCACTTTCAACTTAGAAAAAGAGCTTGCCTGAACTATCTTCCTTCTTTCACATTCCATAAAGCTATAAATCCCCCCTCAACCCACACACCCCCTATATAAAAATCTACAACCAGAAAATCTACAACCACTGCAGTAACCACCATTGGTATGGTGTGCCTCATGACATCTACCAGAGCTTAGTTTTCCCCCTTCAGTACTTACACACCAGGACTACTTAAAACTTTTGTTGTTAAAACAAAACCACCACCACACCACACACCAAGGAAATTCTCACACCAAAAATGCCATTAACGTACAGTTAAAGTTGCTCGAGTGTATTTCCTATCAGCACAAATTAAAAATCAAGGAAATCACCAGTTTAGGCAACATTAACATCCAAACCAACCTCAATTCACAGCTTTTACCCCCACCAAATACAATCACAGACTCCTCAACTCTAAGGGCTTGTCTTCACTACCCGCCCGGATCGGTGGGTAGAAATCGATCTCTTGAGGATCGATTTATCGCGTCTTGTCGGGACGCGATAATCGATCCCCGAATCGATGCGCGTACTCCACCAGCCCAGGTAGGAGTAAGCGCCGTCGACGGGGGAGCTGCGGCGGTCGATTTGCCGCCGTCCTCACAGCGGGGTAAGTCAGATCAGATATGTTGAATTCAGCTACGCTATTCCCGTAGCTGAATTTGCGTATCTGAAATCGATTCTCCCCCCCCGTAGTGTAGACGTAGCCTGAGACAAAGGGTAGACTTTTCAAAAATGCCTATGTGATGAAAGAGGCCTAAGTCCTCTTCTCTTAGGCACTTTTGGAAATTCTACCCAAAGCCCATTTCACTCCAAAATACACTAACCGCAAAGCTCACAGTCAATTCCGCAAAAGTTCACTCAAATGCACAGTCTTAATTCTGACATCACTGTAAAAAAAAGGAGAAAAATATACATTTTTTTCAATACAAGTATGCATCTTTGTAAGATCTTTTTATAGAGTAAAGAAACACTTGAGCAATCTTAACTATGAGGTAAATACTGGTGTGTGAGCTAAATATATATATTTATATATGTTAATGTACATGGGATATTATGTGATGTGTTGGAATTAGCACTATTTAGAAGAGCATTCCAGTAATTTTCTGGAAGTGAGAAGACAAGAACTCTCTCAATAAAAACTCCTAGAAGAGCATGTGAACATCTGAATGCTACCACAGACAAGAGCTAATACAATTCTTCCATACCTTAAAAGCTGCACCTCCATGGATAATGGATTTGATGAAAATCCCAAGGTCAGCCCCAGTCTCCCGAGATTTGTTGCCTTTCAAGCTGACACCAAGTCCAGCAGAACCTGAATCATTCAGGGGTATCTCAAAGGTCAGCTGTTCTGTGGTCTCCAGTGAAAGAATACTGCAGTTGGGCTCTCCTTTCTGTTGGAGAAATAGAAAGATGAAAACAGTGGAAGAAAAAAAAAAAAGAGAATATTAACACAGTGCATTCTAGGTTTCCCAGATCTAAATCTTTGGACAGGTTCATGTAACTAAAAATAGTTTTGCACCATAGTTCCTTTATCTAGTCAATAGCTTTTGGGCTATTGCCTATGATTTGATCACGATTTTGTGACCTAATATATATGATTAAAATATTTATAAATATGATTACATGGAATATGGAAACACTTCAGTTCAAGGTACTACAAGTTTGATGCTGAAGGACACTTAAGGCGAAGGACTCTGTATTTCAAACATATACAAACAGCTACATTAAAAATGTACTCATATAATTCCCACTGCCTTTACATGTAGCGCTCACTGATTTTAATAGGAGTTGTGTGGTTAAATTTCATACCGCTCTAAGTAAAATCCTTAAAAAATTATTGCACCCTTAGTGGATGAATTGGTGCATGCTTTGGATATCTTTTAAAGTTTGGAGCAGCAGCGTAAGAAACAAAATTAATAGAAAAATGGTATATGCAGAAAAATACCATTTTAAAAAGCAGAACACTAAGTTAGCATTTCTCAAAGGTGCTGGACTGAAGTCCTCTGTTAATCCACACAGGAAGTGGGCACCACACTGGAAGTGGGAGTGGAAACTTCTCAACATTGTCCTGCCAATGTTCCTCAAACCTAACTTGGAGGTATAGTAGAACCTCAGAGTTACAAACACCAGAATTAGGATCTGACCAATCAGCCATTTGGAACCGGAAGTACACAATCGGGCAGCAGCAGAGACCAAAAAAAGGAAATACAGCACAGTACTGTGTTAAACATACACTACTAAAAAAAATAAAGGGAAAGTTTAAAAAAAGTATTTGGCAAGATAAGGAAACCGTTTCTGTGCTTGTTTCATTTAAATTAAGATAGCCTACAAGCTGCATTTTTCTTCTGCACAGTAAAGTTTCAAAGTTGTATTAAGTCAATGTTCAATTGTAAACTTTTGAATGAACAACCATAACGTTTTGTTCAGAGTTACGAACCATTCCTGACGTGTTTGTAACTCAGAGGTTCTACTGTACCACCTCGATGGGTACAAGGAAGTTCACGCCCCACACCCTTGCCATCTTTGCTGAGATTGTCCACACAGTATCAATGTGCGGCAGTTGTGGGGCTGGTTTCTGGATAATCATAATGGTTCCTTTATGACCTTAAAGTTTATTATTCGGTCCAACTGGCAGTGGACTGAGGCCACTATACAATACATTTAACACCATACATGGGCAGCAAGAGGTGTGATCAAAAAAGATAAGGGTAAAAACTAAATGTAAGTGAATGTCAACAATTGAAATAGTATCAATTGAATACATGATTCACTTACATGTATCTAAGATGCCACTATTGCTGATGGAGAGTAACTACTGTCTGAGGGAGGGGGTCATACTATTCAGTGAGCTAGAACTATAAACCTTGATTCTAATATGTACCATATACAAATATTTATTAAAAATTAATTGCATGAAAGTCAATTCATTTAATTTAATTGGAAAATACAAAAATGGCACGGTGTTGACACTGATAATTACTGTCTTGATGACATTAGCTTATCTCCAGTACTCTTGCTCCACTTCTGTGCTCTTGCCTTTGTTCACTTGAAGTACACAACTTTCTGTGGCATTTTTTCTTACATAAGTAATTAACAAAATTATAACATATGGAGGCAACAGTCCTGTAAAAGTTCCCAAAGCCAAAGAATTAAAATAAATAAGGGAAACTGGGCTAGAGTGGTTAGAGAATATGGTTGGATGTCTGGATTTGTATTGTCACCTGTGACAATGACTCATCATATGAGTTCTGTCAAGTCACTTAATCACATGGCCCATGAGCAGCGCCTCAGCCTCACCTCTAGCTGAAGTTAATTAGACTGGATCTTACTGATTAATGATTTGTAGTTATGAAATATATTACCACAATGGGGCTGCTAGGAATCTACTGCTAAGATATGTATCCCACAACGTGGCTCAAAAGAGGGAATCCTTCATCTAAGATGTATCTTGTCTAGCCATAAGAAATCTTAAATGTGGAGCGAACTGAAGCCCAAATCTGACAATCCCAGGATCAGTGTGAGGGAAGATGAGTTTTAGCATAAACACTCAGATATTATGGAGATGAGGCTCTAAATAAATACTGAGAGAGAGAGAGAGAGAGAGAGAGAGAGAGCGCGAGTGCGCATTTGAAATGCGGGAGGGGGTGGGGAGGGAGGGAGGCGTGGCACTAAATTTTGGACGCAAAGTAAAATACCAACAACAAAAAAATTCTGGCTTCTCACTGAAATATATACCACAACCACACCAAACATCTCAAGTATCTCCTAATGCAATGATAGCACCCCAAACGCCTTATATAAACTGGATCACCTACATTTCTGCCTGCTACTTGCTTGCTGCACCAAATAGGAGCTTTATTTTCAACTAACAGCATAGGAAATGGACAGGTAATATCCATGATACCTCATATAATCATATCATTTCACATCATGAATATTGGGTGCACCTGCTGACATCATTCACTTATATAGTCTCTGGGATTTTCTGTCAGTATCCTTTTGGATCACAAAATAAACGGCTGCTGAAACAACACAAAACATAAAAACAACTCCCTATCATCATACCAGGGCAGTACAACTGAAACCTTTGTGCCCCCTCAGCACAGTGCAAGGAAGTCTGGCTGTAAGAGAGATCTTAATAGTGAAGAAGTTGGAAAATTGCTCATGTCCTTAAATGATGACAGGAGAGACAGCATGGATAAAACAGACTGTTCACTCCTGAACAGCTCTGTCAAGTGTCTGTGTCTGTGTCTTTTCTGCCATGTCCCTACAAAGGACAGAATATTTTATAACAGAAGTTGCAAAATGCTGTTAATTCTAGTGGACAACATTACAATAACTAGGCAATTACTTTATATTTGTATGCTATAAATAATAACTACAAACACGTGCTTTATAACATTGTTTCTAAATATAAGTGCGTTCAGTTTTAAACTAGATTCCTATATAAGTAGACTGTTAAAAACATGTGAAAAGCTAACCAAACTCTTCAAGTTTTGGACAACATTTTTACATTTATTTAATAAAGGTATTCTGTGCATTAGTGCTTTTCACTAATCCATTGGGTTATCATCTGAGTGCCTAGACATGCTATTTGTATCAAATGAGATTTTAAAATGTGTTCAGTGAGACAAATACTATTTTTTTTTTCAGTATTAGGTTTCTTTCAGCTCTCCTTCAATACCCAGTTTGGAATCCTTATAGTTTCACAACGCTTTCACTGCAGCGCTCTAAGTATTGTGTAATTTTATTATAAGAAAACCTCAGTAAATTAAAGTTCAATTTAAAACAACAGCTGCTTGTACCTATTACTCAAGGAACTCTCCAGACAATCCCCCTAATACCTTTCACAACTGCTCCTTATCCAGTAGAGCTAAATTGGTTTAAAAACTGTCCCTTCTTGGGTGCATATTTACATTCAGCTTTACCCTAAGATCCAGCTAATGAATGCTGACAATCTGGCCCTTTTGGCTGATAGCAAAAAGGAAGTGGTAAACATGGTTTCAGAGTGGACATCTGTGTTTGAAAGTAAATGCAAAGCAAACTGAAGTTATGCAAGCAATGAAGGTGGAGAAAGAGCTGTTGATAGGAGTTTCAGGAGAGAAGCTGAATCAGAAGAAAGGATTTTGTATTGGGAAATACACTTACTGCCAATGGAGAGAATTCTGGAGAATTGAAAAGAACCACCCAGTATGCATGGGCAGCTGTGAAAAAGGTGGCAGGAGCACTGTGGGACCAGCAATCAAGTAACAAACTGAAAGGAAAAGTGTACAAGGCATGGGTTTGTCCCTGCCTGCCCTACGGTTTGGAAAGGGTGGATCTGATGGAAAGGGAAGAAAAAAATAGACAGGTAGTAAACAACAATATACTGAGGAGAATGGAAAACAAGCAGAGCTTAGAGGGCACATGGAAGAAATCAGGGGGAAGATGAACTTGGAACTCTTCGGGTATGTCTACACTGCAATTAAAAACCCACAGCTGGCCCATGTCAGCTGACTTGGGCAATGGGGCTGTTTAACTGCGGTGTAGATGTTTGGGCTTGGGCTGGAGAGTGAGCTCTGGGACCTCACGAGAGGGGAGGGTCCGGAGCCCAGGCCCAAATGTTTACACCACAATCAAACAGTTCCTTAGCCCGAGCCCCACGAGTCTGAGTCAGCTGACACAGGCCAGCCAGAGGGGTCTACAGCAGTGTAGACATACCCTTAGTGATAGAAAGCCTGGGAAGCACATGTTTGAGGTGGGCGGCACATGTGATAATGATCAGCAAAGAAAGTGTGGGCAGAAGAGGACAGCAAAAAAGGATAAGGAAGACCAAGGATACAGTGGAAAGACTGTGTTAGGAGAAGTTTGAAGAGAAAAGGAATGGAACTCCAAGACATATGAACCCATGCTATGGACTGGAAGGATGGCGAAGAATTGTGGGCACCTCTGATCCAGTGTAAATGGGAAAAGGAGTCAAAAAATGAAGTGAATTTTATCCTAAGATCCAGCTAAATGTGACTTAAAATCAAACTAAGCCTGGTTTGTTTTAACTGTAATGTCACACACTAGCTAGCCATGAAATGAAACTGGATGAAATCCCACTGACTACAACTCTATAGAGGATAGGTGAGAGGAAAGCTGTATCATACGTAAAAGTCAATTCCACAGCTCAGTGTGAAACTACAGTAGCCCTGTCCTTATCTCTTCACTTAAGACATACCATTCCTTACCTATTCCGTGGAATCTAACCGCAAATGCTTGGATGCTCAGCATAGCAAGTAGCAATTACTTCATCACAGAGAACTACAGCAATGAAAAACCTACTGAAAATTTCTGTTGGCAGAGGAAGAAATACAAATATATTTCCTAAAAGTTTGGTTTCCTTCAATACACCAGTAACTTTAAATTC